TAAATATTCTTTCTTATTTCCTGTGTTTGTTTCTATATTAATATACATAATATTTACAATTGTCCATCATAGATCAAATCATTGTGAATAATTTTAGTTGAATTTTAAAGTTGTATGCATACGCTTGAATCTAAACAGAGGAAAGCTTGTGTGTTTCTAAAACAGAGATTTGTACTGCATCCCAAAAATTCGCAGGTTATCTTCATGCACTTTTTTTTAAATTGTATTTTATGAACTGTAATATTTTACATTGTACTTTAATAATCAATGTATGATGTCAAAATTCCAAATAAAAACCATTTTTGTTGATTTTATTTTTTAAATATGTTTTTTAGTTTTTTATTTTTCATATTTTCTTAGTCTTGATGATTAAAGATATTAAAATTTCTTCATATATTTTATATTTAAATTATACTTTTATATGAAAATCTAATATCTAATGATCTAAATAGAATTAAAAAGTAAAATATTGGTAAAAAATTATAAATTCAAGCATGTACTATTTTTTTTTTGTTATTATTATTATATAATATTAACAAAAAAAAATTTGCAAAAAGAATACACGACAAATTATTTTCTAAGTGTATTTAGATTAAGTAAATCTAAATCTAAATCTAAAAGTAAAATTAAAAAATAAAAAGGTATTAAATTAAGTGAATTTAAAAAGAAAATAAAAGGGTTATTAAAAAAAATAGTGTCAAAGACAAAAAAAAACATGAAAACCAAAAAAATTCAAAACAAAAGTTTGAAAAAACAAACCAAACCAAACCAAACACTATAAACTTTTCTCTTTTTATTATTATTTTTTAAATCTTTCTTTACTAATATCTAATTTTACTCAAATTCCTTTCAATTTTTATGTGAATTTAATAATCTCATCTAATCTGGCAGGGGAGTAGTCAAATCGTTTTCATGAAATCATTTTATATCTTTTACTTTTCAACTTAATAAGACATTCTAAACAATTTAAATATTTATGGCAGACCATGAACTTACCTTGTTTAAGTTTAGAGTGACTTGCTAATCCACAGTTATTTATCTCAACTTTGTATAAACTAGCATTCTAACAGAATCAAAATACAAGACAGTTTAGATATATCTGCATTTTTTTTTATTCCCAAGTGCTTCAGGAACTTATCTTGTTTAAGTCATCTCTTTTTTATACTGACCTATTCTAACAAAATTAAATTACAATCCATTGTTGGGATATATCCTCATTTTTCTATTCCCAAATGCTTCATGAACTTACCCTGCTCAAGTCATCTCTTTTACTGACTTTATCCACAGCTATTTATTTCAACCTTGCATGAACTAATATTCTAACAGAATTAATACACAAGCTAGTGTTCAGATATATCCTCAAAATTTCATTCCCAAGTGCTTTGACTACATATACAACTTGATTTGAATGGGCCAAAACTTACCTCATCAAGGATACATATATAAAGAAAAAAAATACTCGAAACCTAGGGTATCCCTCTAAACCAAACCAAACCAAACCAAACCAAACCAAATCTTAAGTCCCATCAAATGGGATCGGCTATATGAATCTTTCTTTTCCAATCCGGCTACCACAAAAAAAAAAAAAAAATACACAATTTCATTTTGTTAGAGTATGCCTGATTTATTTTAGTTCTTTTGGAAAGCATATCATGGTATGCTTATAATCACCCAAAACAATCTTTGAAATGATGTTTTCTAAAGATACACTTGCCTTCCCTTATTTTGATCATGTGATCAAACTATTTCAAAACATACTGAATGTAAGTTTTCTGAATGAAACTGTATATTCAATTGTGTCTAATACAAATATTACAACCGATATATATAGCAAACCTAAACCTAATCTAAAATAGGAAATAAGAATAACCCTATACAATCAATCAATCTAAAATATACAAGCAATCTAATTGATATATTTCCATAATATGCTTACAGCTCCCTTCAACCGCACACTTTTTTTTTTTGTCCTTTCTTTTTTCCTTTAGAAGTTAAGGTTACACATACACTTTCTTGTTTTGGGCCAAGCTAGTCCTAGCATGCCTGCACATACCACGCACCTCTCACTGTCATGTGTTTTCTTTGAGGAAACAGGTAGCAAACCTTACTCTCATTTTGTTATATTTCCAGTTGTATCTTTTTTTTTAAATTGCGATTGTGCTTTTTCACACAATGTTGACCCATGCAACACAGACATAATTAAGCTGTCTTATAAATTTTATCAGGTTCCGGATATACTTCTTTGCTTTGTCTACCTTGTATCAGCTGCCTCTCCTTGTTGATGATTGATTTAGGAAAACAAAAAAGATAATTTTTGGCTTATCTTGGTTTCACTTACCACTATCCATTCAATCAATTTACGATTTGATTGTTAAGTGAATTTTGCATATTATGTTTATATAACTTGCCACCAATACCTAGATAAGAAAGTTATGCTATGCTCTTATTTCGTTCTATGCAACTTTATACTGTTCTTTAGTGGTCTTTTTCCACTCATATTGGGTCTCTGATTCCTGACCTGAGTAGAAAAGAGATCACCTACTCTGGTTACCAGATTCGTAGATCTCCTCTGGCTTTCCTCTCCTCATTTACTCTACACACACCATTTCACCTTAAATGCCTTCTCTTTGCATAAGTGTTGGAAAATCAAATATAAAAGCTCTATTGATGGACCGGCATTCCATACGCTCTATTGATGAATAAGAGACTTCTAGCTATTATTGAAGCTTCTTTAGTGTGAGCTTTATTATTTCTTGAAGTTGCTTGTTAATTAATGCATTACATATATCTTGAAGGCAGGCATTCATTACATTTTATGATTCTGCGTTGATTTGACTTCTTGCATTTTCAGAGTTTGTGTGCTATATTTTCCCAAATTTTGATTTTTTAATCTCAAAATCCCGGTAGTTTAGATTCTGAAAGTTTCAATGGGAAAGGATTTATGAAATGTTGTGAAGTTGACAGAATAATTGAATTGTGGATAATTCTGTTGTAGGTTCGTGGTCCAAAGTGCGCACGTAGGTTGGCAGATTACCTTGGAGAACTGAAAGAAGACATGGGAATAAAGAACATTATGGTTTTGGAACGTGGTTATAATGGTTGGGAAGCCTCTGGTAGACCTGTTTGTCGATGCACCAACATCCCTTGTCAGGGTGACAGCGCGTAGAACATATTATTATTATTATTATTAACCCATGTTGGGGACATTTATTGCATTGTATGCAGAATACATGTCTAAACAATGACAATTACTTCATATCACAGAATATGTGATCCGTTGTTGGTCAGCATATGTTGATTACTTGAAGTTACCTTTATCTATTTTTGGGAATTTCCAAGTGGGATTGTTCTACCTCTTCTAATTGTAATTTTTTTGAATCAAATAGGAGATTAATGGACAAGGCTTGCTGGGTTCTTATATTATTTCCTAATTGGAGTGTATTTTGAAGCCCTGGAGTTTTTGTGGGTTTTCTATTTGAACTCAAAAGATTCATCACAACATCTACTCATGTGAGAGCATGCATGTGACAGATGTGGGTGTGGTGAAACATTTGATGCGAATAAATTATTTTCTTTCTAGAATATCATGTTATTGAAACTCGAGTACATAGCCAATTGCTATTGGATGTACATATTTGTAATGTGGTGTTTTGGGAAATAATTAATGAAGTTGAGGGGTTGAGAGGATAAATTAATCCATGGTCATTAGGGGAGTGATCGCCTCTGTCGAATTTTACCTAATATTTTTATAGTTTTAAATAAATATTTGATCCACATGGATAGACTAAATTAAGATTGCGTTTGTTTTTGTTTTAGAATTATGATTTTAATAAAAAAAATTCAATCATAATTTAAAAATATATCAAATTCAATTCAAAAATTATTTTTAAAACTAATAACCAAACACATAACTCGAAACTCCATATTACTTTCACAACTCTACACTCAAATTATAACCAAATACATAACAAAAAAATTAAAATATTTAAAAATATTTTTATAAATAGAGTTTGAATTTATTTTTATAAAATATTTTAACAAAAAACAAAAAAAATGTTTTTAATTTTTTTTTTCAACTTTCTTTGTGTTTTTTGGAAAAGGTGTTTTTTGGGAAAAAGTTTTTTTTTTTTTTTTCCTTTGTGTGTGCTGCAGTTGATGGTGATGCCCCTCTTTCATGTGGGGGTAATTTCGTAAATTTATCTTGGCATTGGTTGTTGCCAAGTTTGAGTGAAACTTTTGTCTCCATGTGGCTAAATAAGTCAATTTTGTCCGAACATAGCTATTTTAGCCCCAATTTTGCTTCCCAAACACAGGCTCAGATGATCAATCAAAAGAAGTGGACACAATAACTATGAGGTCACCCTCATACTGCAATCTCTCTCAATATATAGCATATAGTGGCCTCGTTTGAGAAGTGACTATTTTAGTAGGCTATTTGGTTTTTTGGTTATTTTAATAGGCTATTTTAGTTTTTGTGTTTGGGAAGATGAAATGAACTTTTAGTTGAATTGTTGTATTGAAAAGTGTGTTGAAATGATGTTTGAATTAAAAATGACAAATTTATCCCTAAATTATATTTTTTTAATTGGATGTAAAGGGGCAAAATGACAATTTAACCTTTGATGTAACAATTTTCGGCTGTGACATACACTGTCCGGCTGCAGCCTATATATATATATATATTTTTTTTTTGAAGAAAACTGTGAAACTTTTGAGCTTATTTTGCATGTTAGGCTATAATAGCCTTAACTCACTCTCCCCAAACAGCTCCAGTATATATATTGGTGAATAAAAAAAAACTAATCTGTTTATGACTTACACTACAATCTCTCTCAATATATATATATATATATATAGTATATATACTGGTGAATAACTAATAGTGTATAGTATTGGTGAATAACTAATCTGTTTGTGACGTACACGTCGTCGCTGACGTGGCTTTGAAAGTCGGTCTGTAAATCTGAGCTAATTGTGAGAGGCAAAAGAAGTGTTTTGGGCTTCCCTTCACCCAAAAAAACCTTGGAAATGAAACGTACAAAACAAATCTCATACTCCTCATCATCCTCATCATCCTCAGCAAACACATAATAATCAACACAACAAACAACACACCCACCATCACCATCACCATCACCATCACCATCACAGTTTGTTTTTTAGAGAGAGAGAGAGAGAGAGAAAGAGAAAATCTAGAGAGAGAACTCCCCAATTTCACCACCTTCTCTAGCTTCTCCTTCAACCGAAAGCCAACTCTAAACTCTAAAATACATACATATATATACATATATCTTTCTTATTTCCAGGTGACGATACTTGTATATGCATACATTGATTTATCGTGTGGCTTTGAATTGGAGGAAAAAAACCTGACTTTTAAATTCTGTGTTTTGGTGTTCTAGGGTTTCGTAAATTGATTTGACTGTGTGGATCACTAGTTCTATTACATGGCATTGTTTCGCAAGTTGTTCTTTCGGAAGCCCCCTGATGGCCTTCTTGAGATCTCTGAAAGAGTTTACGGTATGTTCGTTTTTTCTTTCTTTTTTTTTTTAAAATTTTTTTTTTTTTGGGGTTCTCTTTTGGTGTGAAATTGTCTAATACTGCGGATTATCTGTGAAATTTATACATTACTGTCAATTTACTTGTATAATTCTGAATTATACTATACAAATGATAATGGATTTTTGCCTAAAAATTTCAGTGACATTAATATAATTGGGTGCACTTGTGGTAGTGTTTGGTTCACTTGAATTAAATGAAATGGAATGGAATGGAATAGAATAATTATTCTATTCAAATGTTCCTTCATATATTTGGTTAGACTCAAACAAATAATGACGAATGAATTACAAATGAAATCATATATCACCATATTTAGGGAATGATTGCTCCATAGGAAAGCCTAAGAAATTTCCATTCCTTCTTATTCCAATGAACCAAATAGAGGATCAGGGACATCGTAGATCTGCAGGTGAGTGGGGTTCAAATGGGCCGAATTTGATCTCGTCTCAAGCTTGAGTTGAGCTTGATATATTTGGAAGCCTGACTCATTTCTGTTGCTTTTGTGATTATCACTGTATTTGAATTCATTTAAACGAACTCAGGCTAGGTTTTAGCCCACAATGACAACAGCATTAGCAATTGAAAAATCTTAGTCCCATGATCTTGTCATTATTAATTTAAAAAGTCCAAAACAAGCATGATCAACTATTAAAGAGAAGATAAAGAAGAAACACAACCACAAAGATTTTTTCATGGAAAACCTATAGTTGGAATCCATCAACATGTGATAAAAACCACGGGCCCTTAGCCATAAGAATAATCCACTAAGAAGAAGAGTAGTACAAGAGATTTCTTACAAAGACCAATCCAAGCACACTAGTTTGCTCGAGATCTTCAAGTAGCTCCACCTCTATCCTTCATCTTGTGGATATCCACCTCTGTTATTGAATCCACAACAACGGTGTCGAGTCCACAACAATAACCCACTCACAAAATATTTAAATGATTTTACAACTTGATGATAACTTGAAAGATCTAAAGATACAAACGTATCATCAAGTAAATATGAGAGAAGAATACAAAATAACCTCACTATAGCATTGTCTCAGAAAAGTAAGTCTTTCGAATTAGAATCGCTTGTTGACAAAATAGAATAAGCTTGATATATATAGAGAATCCACCATCGCGGGTGCAAATGTGTCTTTCGTGGGCTGCATAGAAAAAGTTCTAGGAGCTCATTTTGGTCGCGACCTGCTTGCTGCCTTCTCGCGGCTGCCATTCTTGTTCATTGCGGGCACGAGTCTCTGTTTGTGTGCACAGAGACAGATCCTGAGAAGATACGGGGCACATGTTTTGATTGTGGGCGGTATCGCGGCTTATTCGCGAGCACGATGTCTACACATCGCGGGCACGATGGTCACTGTTGCGGCGCGATGGTGAATGATGACTCCATGGTTATCAGAATTTCGATCAAGATCTTACAATCCTACGATCCATTTGGGCACAATCGATCCGGATCGTGTAAAAAATTCTTTATAGGTAGGATCTTTCGATCTTGGTATTAGGATCTTATAGGATGGTGGAATCTCAATCCAAATCCGATCTTATCTAATCCAATTTACAAGTCTTGTTTTATATTGTATGGCATATTTTATTGTAAATTTTATGTTTATTGTCTAAATACCAATTTATGTGGTCAAAATAAATAAAAAAAATTAAGTAGTATTGAATCAAATACACTAAGAAAAACAAACTAGAAAACAAATATTTAAATATTACGGTGATTTAAAAAAACTAACTAGTCGGAAAAACAAACTTAGCTTGAACGGAGTCTGAGGATGGCAAGATGATTGCAACTTTACCCCAATTTTTGGAGAGACTATTTTTGTGACTCGAATTCGCTCCACCAGGGATGCCAACGACAAACCTTATCATTCAGTTAAACCGCTCTTTTGAGTTCTTAATCTATTTTCATATCCAACTTTGTTAAATATTTTTTCTTCACTTTTTATCCATTATTATAGATTGTAAAGTGTTTTGTTATAGAATTCTTCTTATTCACTTTATTTTTTGATGAAATACAAAGCTTTTACCATTGAGTTTTCTATTGTATAATATTATATGTACATTTTACATGGAGTATTATATTTTTCACAATATCTTCACTTGTTTTTAATAGAATATAGGCTCATTTTGTCTATACTTTTTAAGAAATGTTTATTTAAATTAAATTATTGCGTAATTTGTCTTTTTCGGTTGGATCTTACAATCCTTGATCCTATTCTACAATCTGATCCCGTAAACACCTCCAACGATCCAATGTATGATTCCGATTTTGACAACCTTGGATGACTCAGCTGTTCCTGCAGACTTTTGCCCTAAGCGCATTGCAATACCGGCCCAATCCGTTAGGGAGAAACTCTAGAGTCTGCAAATACCACATCAAGGCTCACTATACATTATTTAGAACTCATACCCACTTAAAAGCTTAAGCCTGTAAGCGGAGAGCCCGTCTAATGTATATTAAGGCCAAGTTTGGCATAACCTAAATAATACAAAAAGTCAAAAAGTCACTATCCTATTTAAGTCACATCATCTTATTTAAATCACATCACCTCTCTAACACATCACATCAAACCCAACCCAAACCCAACCCATATAAGCCAATAAGTCAAAAAGTACACTTTTTTAGAACACCCCAAACCAACCCTAAGATTCATCACTTTTACTCTTTATCCGATGTAGGACTCTACCTTCACACATGTTCCAACAGTCTCCCTCTCGTGTGTGAACCAAACATTAGGCCTCTCCATGCTCTCCCTCGAGTCTTGATCTATTATCAACAAGTTCATTGTAGATCATGACACACTCCCCCTTAATCTTGATCTATAATTCTCTAACATCGAGTCTAGCTTAGGCCACCTGCACACACTCCATCGTGAGCCACCATACTCCATTAAGAGCCACCTTGTCGCGGTCTAGCCTTGCCATGTGCACCAGGAATTTTCTTTGCTCCATCAAGAGTTGTTATGGATTTTTCTTGCTCTATTGAGAGTCTCCGTGCAAACCCAAGGCTAACAGCATCAATGCTCCAGGAGAGCCCACCCATAGATCGTCTACCATCGGCTTTGATACTAGTTGTTAGGGAATTAGGGAGCCCACAAGCGCACAACAATATCGGCCGAATCCATTAAGGAGAAACTCTAGAGTCCACAAATACCACATCAAAGCCCAACATACATTATATGAAACTCATACTTACTTAAAAGCTTAAGCCTATTAGTGGAGAGCCCATCTAATGTATATTAAGGCTCATTTCTTTTACTCTTTCTCCGATGTGGGACTCTACCTTCACACATGCTTCAACAATGATTTCTTTCATCTCTTCAACCCATGCCCTACAACAATAATCACACGACAAACAACCACCTTTAGCCACCTTTCATCCAATCTTGAACCAATACTTTTAGTCAATCTTTCCAAAGACAAACAGCCCCCTTTTTGCATAACTCTGAAAATTCAACTCTGAATTTACAACACTGAATTTGCAATTTCTGAAAAACAACATCATACCTAAAAATAAATCTTGTCAAAACGTTTCTAATAAGATACATCAAATCTCTTGAATCATTTAATCAAAATAAAAGAACAATTGTTTTGTCAAGAAAGGGATTGCCAAAATATAAACATTTATTAGGGTAAAATCCTGACAGCAATGTTAATAAGAGTAATGAAGAGATAGTCATCCCATCCCCCAAGTCATGCTGCACATCATTCAGAACTACTGCCGACTTATGAAACTCATCTGATATATTTGGAAAACCCTATTACAATCCTAAACAACTATTCTATTTTGTTCAAGACTGAAAAAGTTAATAATAGTTGCATTAAACTAGGGTTTTTAAAAATCCTATGAATACACTCTAGGTTATACCCAGGGTTTTTTCAAATATTTCTTTAAGGGTAAAATGATGTTTGCAAACTAACATAGAGCATTTTACACATAAAATAGGAGTATTAATAGTTATATTGTGAACTCAACCACTTGGGCATTTTGATGGGTGCATGGCCAATTAAGTATGCCGAAGACACATGTTCCATACCTTTACTCAAATATTGAGTATCCTATATGGGTACTAAATAAATTTTAAAAAGTCCATGTAAAATAGTTTATTATTATAGGTTGATTGGACATCAACACATTATTAGGTGTATTATTGGCCACTAGATGATTCTACTCGTATGCTAATAAAATTCAGGGTAAATTACATTGACACCTCCTGAGGTTTATGTTTATTATAGTTTCCCCCCTCACCTTTTGGAAATTACATCCCTCTCCTTAAGGTTTAAAGTTTCATTACAGATTGCCCCCTGAGGTTTAAAGTTGCATAACAGTTCCCTCCCTCATCGTAATGCCTATCATACATAAAATTAAATTAACAGGGGGGTCAGTGTAATTTTCCAAATGTGAGAGGGAGAACTGTAATAAACATAAACCTCAAGGGGTGTTAATGTAATTTACCCTTAAATTCAGATTGATTTTTCTGGCAAGGAACTATTGTGTTAGATTGCAGGCCTTGCATTTCTTTTAGTCAACAAGTACAAAAGAAATTTTTGATTTTTGACTAACAGTTTCATCTTGTGTGTGCTAGTATTTGATAGTTGTTTTACAACTGATGCTTGGGGAGAAGAAGATTATAAAGTCTATGTTGGAGCCATTATTGGTCAACTTCGAGAAAACTATCCTGATGCTTCAATCCTGGTGTTCAATTTCCGTGAGAGCGGGACTGATAGCCTGATTGCTAATGTTTTATCTGAGTATGATATAACCATAATGGACTACCCTCGACACTATGAGGGTTGCCCGTTGCTCACAATGGAGGTGATCCACCATTTTCTAAGGTCAAGTGAAAGTTGGCTTTCCCTTGGGCAGCAAAATGTACTTCTAATGCACTGTGAACGAGGTGGTTGGCCAGTTTTGGCTTTCATGTTAGCTTCTCTCTTGATTTATAGGAAGCAGTATACAGGGGAGCAGAGGACCTTGGACATGATTTATAAGCAGGCCCCACGTGAGCTTTTGCATTTGCTGTCACCTTTGAATCCACTCCCTTCTCAAATAAGGTATTTGCAGTATGTATCAAGGAGAAATGTGGCCTCAGAATGGCCCCCTCTGGATAGGGCTCTCACCTTGGACTGTGTTATTATTAGACTTATTCCTAACTTTGATGGGGAGGGTGGTTGCCGCCCAATATTTCGAATATATGGACAGGATCCTTTCCTTGTTTCTGATCGAACTCCCAAAGTTCTGTTCTCAACTCCAAAAAGGAGCAAAACCGTCCGGCACTACAAGCAGGTATTTATCCCATAATTCTGAATTCTTTAATTCAAATTTTTTTAAAATTCTTGTTAAATCTGGGGGTGGAGGCATAGTTCTTGTTCACCCCCCTCATGTGCATCCTTTGTTTGATATCTTTACACTCCTTACGTAAGACCTTCATAGTTCTTCCTAAGTAGAAGAATCATCATCTGTTGTCCTCATATTTATAGTGGAAAATTTTCAACCTATTCACTCTTGGAGTGGTGATGATGCTGCAGGCTGTTTTACTTGGGCTGGTGGACAGGTGTCATACTTGTATAAATTAGTTGATGTTTCTTATTCATTAACCTTGGCTCTAGAAATATGAGAAAATTGATAAGTGATTGGGGTTTGAAGCTTTCTTTTGTTTAGCTATCTTGTTCCAAAGGTTTTATAGTTCACAACTTCATACAAACCTCAAGTTATTTTTGTTGTCTTTTTGCCTTCATGATACTCTGCACCTCTAAAATGTCATGGTATTTGTTGTTTGTTTCAGAGATCTGTTGTCCATTAATGCTTTGAACCTATTTACTATGTATAGGCCCTTAAAATGTGTTAGTAATTATGCTTGCAATGGAGAGGAAATTACATGGTTTGTACTTTTCAATATATACAAATTCTCTCAAAGGGTAGCTGTTCTATTGGAAATTGATTTTGAAAGTTGCATGCTGGGACCATTCTCTCTGTATTTTGTAAAAGAAAATTCACTCTATTGTTTCTTCTTTTAACATATCAAGGAAATCTGATCCTTTTGCCAATCAATTGTCATTTTGGAGATCTTTTACTTTGGGCTTCAGCAATAAATGGGGATGGTTGAATTAAAATCGATCTCAGGTGTGGATATGAATCCATGCAGATGGACACAAATTAGTATATCATGAGCCTGATTTGTTGGTAAATTAACCCCAGGGCAGAAAAAGCAAAACAAAGAGGTTTGTGTGGTTGACTCTGCTAAGTTTAAACTGAAACTTGGACTACAAACTGAGGTTGCTCCATTTATTACTTTGAGTTTTCAGTTCTGTGGCACCACACCTTTGGAAAAATCTAATTCTCTGTTTTTGTTTTTTCTTCAATTTTTTTATTTGTTTTTTTCTTATGTTCTGTTAGATAAAACACAATTAGTCAATTTCATTTTGGCAACTTCAATATCATGCTGATTGTCTGGAGCTCAATACTGTGTTGTTGCAGGCAGAATGTGAACTAGTTAAGATTGATATCAATTGTCATATTCAAGGTGATGTTGTGCTTGAGTGTATCAGTTTACATGATGACGTGGAACGGGAAGAGATGGTGTTCCGAGTAATGTTCAACACAGCTTTCATCAGGTCAAATATTCTAATTATTAGTCGTGATGAAATCGACATGTTATGGGATGCTAAAGATCAATTTCCAAGAGATTTCAGGGCAGAGGTATGCTTATGTTGTGTTTGAATGACATAACCTTTTGGTAGTATTGTTCCCCCTAACAAGGACCATTTTATTCATTTTTTTTTTCTTTTTTAAATTATCATTTGGATGAAGGTTCTTTTCTCAGACACAGATGCTGCCGATTCTAGAGTTCCCATAGATTTGTCTTGTTTTGAGGAGAAGGATGGCCTTCCAGTGGAGGCATTTGCTAAAGTTCAGGAGATCTTTAGCAGTGTTGACTGGTTAGTTCCGAAGACAGATGCTGCAGTAAATGTTCTCCACCAAATAGCTGCATCAAATGCTGTCCAAGAAAAGTTAGACACACTCAGAGCATTTGGAAGTGATACCGAGAGCTCCACAAACTGGGTCTTAGGTGATCAGTGTGTGCCCTTGCCTGAAGCTTCTCCACATGCAGATGGGGCTAGACAGAAGGCTGAGCCTGAACCTGTGTCAATTTCACCCTCAACACCACCTCCATTGCGACCTTATGCTAGGGAACCAGTTGCTTCTCCTCTATCTCCAACTCCACTGCCACTTCATCTTTCAACCTCACAACCTACGCATGATTCACATGGCAAACAGTCTGAGACCTTTCCCGAAGCAGGGCATTCTTCTTTGGTTCCTCAACCTGCTGTTGAAACTCCGCCTTCAGGAACCATTTCCAGTAATTTGTTATCTACTCATTCTCCATCTACAGCCCCTCCAATTGCTTCATCAACTCCGCCTCTTCCAGCACTGCCTTTGAAGGAGGATGTAGCTACTGGAACTAAGCCGCCTCCACCACCTCCACCTCCACCTCCACCTCCATCTGCAAACCCCCCTCCAACTATGCCTTTGAAGGATTCATCTATTGACATTGGGCAGCAAGTAGCCCCATGTCCTTCCCCAACTCCACCTCCTCCAAGTGAGCCTTTGAAGGATAAAACTACTGCTAGAACTGGACCCTGTCCACCCCCACCTCCTCCCCCAAATCTGCCACCGCCGCCTCCTCCTTCGGCTATGTCTTTGAGAGGTAACCAAGCTGTGAGAATTGGATCTCCTTCACCCCCAACTCCACCTCCTCCTCCAACCCCACCTTTAAAGGACAATTCAACTATCAGAACTGCACCACCTCCACCCCCACCTCCTCCTGCAACCCCACCTTTGAAGGAAAATTCAACCATCAGAGCTGGACCTCCTCCGCCTCCGCCTCCTCTTCCTTCTAGGCAAGCTTCAGGGCCTGCAATTTCTGCTTCAGTGCCCCCACCGCCACCTCCACTTGCCCCCAGTTCTTCATCCAAGCTTCTTCAAACTGCACCAGATAGTGCTTCATGCGTCCCATCTGCACCACCCCCTCCTTATCCTTCCGTTAAGGGAAGTATTGGAGATCAGAGTTTGTCCAAGTCTCCCTCTCCTGCACCTCCAACTCCTGCTCCTCCTTTTAGTTCCCCATCTGGTACAAAGGGACGAGGTTTGTCACGTCCTGTAAGTTCAAGAAATAATCAAACGAAGAAGTTGAAGCCATTGCATTGGTTGAAGTTGACAAGAGCAGTGCAAGGAAGTCTGTGGGCTGAGGCACAAAAATCTGGCGAAGCTTCCAAGTGCGTATTGGCAATTATTTATTGGTTTAGGGAGGAAGATTCCTTAATTTTTCTTGCTTTCCAATCCCGTTCAGTTTCATGCATTATATGATTGTCATCTGTGCACATTAGGGCACCAGAGATTGATATGTCAGAACTCGAGAGTCTTTTCTCAGCAGCTGTTCCAAATTCAGATCAAGGGGGAGCAGGCCGCAGATCAGGTTCTCGTTCTTCACTTGGGCAGAAGCCTGATAAAGTGCAACTGGTAATCTAGTTTTCACCTCAGGTGGTGTTGTATATATTGCTAATTATTTTTTATTTCATCTTGTCAACTTTTTAAATCTTGACTTAATTTTGTGATATGGTACATGCAGGCTTATACTTTTATCAATTGAGATGTTTATTATTAGGATAGGTTGTCAGAAGAAATTGTCTAATGTTAACACTTTCTAACACCATGTATGGGGAGCAACACTTGAGTTTTGTATCGCATTGTCTATTATGGGTGTCATATCTTTTTTTAACTTCATTTTGAACTGAATTTTGGCCCGAAGTCCCGATTCAACTAGTAATATATCAACACAAATTTGACAGTGCACTTAGTTGGTTCTTGGTTCTTTTTTCTTTTTATTTTTTTTTTCCGGAGATTAGCATAATTGAATAAAACACCTACCTACTTGCATTCTACAGAAATTTTACAAGCCGGACTATTTCCTATCATTCATAGCATAACAATCTTGATTTCATTCACTTCTCAAAAGCAAACTAAGAAATCCTTCTTTGCTTATAAATAATGATAACTACGATTCTTCCACTATGCATGCATAATTTACCAATATATGTATATTTCTGTAATATGTGGAATGGGTTTAGGGTTTATGAAGATTAATTAGATAAAAAAGTGAGAACTCTTCACAAAAATTTGCTTGTAATTTACTGCTATTTGAATATTGCGTAATATTTAAGTGTCTAATGAAGTCCATTAAGTTTCTAAAAAAAAAAAAATATGAAGTCCATTAACCAATTTTCAATGCAACAAACATGAGGGATGTGTTTGGATATAAATGTACAAAAGCAATATTTAAACATCATGGGATCCTTGTAGTGATTGTTAATATCAAACTATGTAAAGTGTTAATGCCTCATAGACAAGATATAATGGACTTAATTTTTAATCATTTTCTGTCTGTAATGGAAGTTTGAAATATTTGTTCATTTAGCACCTCCATCTGGACTGATATTCTGTTTATTGAATGGCTTGCTGATACTGCTGGGTGAAAGAGTCTCATGACCATTAAAACCTGTATTCAGTTTATTCTTTCTTCTTGCAGATTGAACACAGGCGGGCATATAATTGTGAAATTATGCTTTCAAAGGTCAAAGTACCATTGCCCCAGTTGATGGTAAGCTAATAATACTGTTTTCCATTTTCAAATTGTTAAGCTGTACTTTCATTCACTTTAAATCTGTTTAGAATTCGACTCAATAAAATCCTTGCCCCAAGCTTGAGTTGGCTGTATAAATCCCATTCCAATTTCAACACTCCATATGGGGACATATATTTTATTTAGGCATAGTCAATATGTCCCATCATATTGCTCTCACCCTCTGCCCATATGTCATCCTTCATTCTAACAGTATCTTGTAGACATTTTCACTTTCATTGGTCCATTATCTCGTATCCTATCCTTTCTATTACAACTCCATAAAAAAATTTCTCACTGTATTTATCTCGCTATAGAAACATTTCTACTTTGTACATTGTCAATGATTGAACCATGGAATTGAGAATGGATCATCTTTTGGGCATATACTGAACTTATCAACTGAATCTACATTTTTGTCAATTGAATTGAGAAGTAGACCTGTCATTTTATCTGTCTTTCTGTTTATCCGGAATAAAAATTAAACAGCATGTACTGGATGTTACGTCCAGATGGAAACCTACTACAAGTAATATACAATTATCTCTCCTACTTATTTTATGATAAGAACCTTTATTTTGTCGACTTCTTGTCTAAAATCCAAGGCACTATCTTGTAAGGGAGTTAATTGTATATTTTATTTGACTTCATTTAAGCTTCCTTGCAATACTTTTTAAGAGGTTTTTGAAATATTTGAGATTCTGTTTCTTTTCTATTAAGTAAGCATTTAAGTTTTCTTGCAGTTTTGAGGTGGCTATGAAATTATTCAGAGTCTCTTTCCTTCGCTTTTTGTCTCATACTTTTATCCTGAATTAGTTCCTGTTGTTCCTCATTATTTTAAGACATTTTTCCAGTTTGTGTAATGTTTGTTTGTATAATTTGTTTTGTACGGTCTTGCTATTTCAGATTATACAATAATGGGTTATTTTCTGATCAGCTATCAGTTATGTAATCTTGTGGAAATGTGACAGAGTTCAGTGCTTGCCTTGGAGGATTCAGCATTAGATGTTGACCAGGTGGATAACCTCATAAAGTTCTGTCCAACAAAAGAGGAGATGGAGCTGCTTAAGGTATGGAGATAGGGTATGGATTAATTATAAAGTTGGACTGTAATGCTACTCTGCTTAGGTGTGTACCTTCTCTAGAGTCACAGGTATATCTGGAAAATACAGGTTGCAATTCCTTTTAGTTGTAATTAGACTTATGTTTCCATTTTCAGGGCTACAATGGAGAAAAGGAAAAGCTAGGAAAATGTGAACAGGTTTGTGGGCTTTCACTTCTCCATCTTTAACTGAGTGCTGTAGTCTACTTCTTTTGTTTCAGTTCAGTCATAATTCATTGCCATTCAACGTGACATGACATGGGTTGAGCTTTTTTCTGATTCTTTCAAACAGTTTTTTTTGGAGTTAATGCAAGTACCACGAATAGAATCTAAGCTAAGAGTTTTTTCATTTAAGATGCAGTTCCGTACCCAGGTTAGAAGAAACATTCGTCCACCTTCTTGCTTCCAATTTTGGTTTTGTTTTATTATTTGAATGACATATTTTTTAACAATTCAGGTTTCTGATCTTAGAAATAGCCTGAATGTTGTCAATTCAGCAGCAGATCAGGCAAGTTATCCATTTCTACTATCATTTGTGCTATCTCATATATTCAACTGAAAATTGACATGCCATCACATGTTAATGATGTTCTTACCAGATCAGGTGCTCTGTCAAATTCAAAAGAGTTATGCAGACAATCCTTTCATTAGGAAATGCTTTGAATCAGGGAACTGCCAGGGGTGAGTTCAAGTTTAATTAGTCGGGTTTATTGAAAGTTGCTTGCTATGTACTTATTTGATATGCACTCACATGGCTTCAATATTTTCTGCTGCTACCGGCTGAAATATATCTTGAAATTTAAATGATGCAAAGAGAGAACTTTTGTATCTGTGAGATAGTTAGGGAAGTCCACAAACAAACGTTAAGTGAACCTTTTCTTCCTAAAGGTGGCAAAGAGTTACATGAGGGTGAAAGTTGGAGCATTGTGGGGAGTCACGGGCAAAAACACATAAGAATGCACCTATGAAGCAATGCATGTACTATATGAGTCCATATGATATAATACTTAAGAACAAGGGAAGGTGAAATAATAAAGTTCCTAAAATAAGGGAGAAGGAGATACTCGTGCATGATGACAAGTTTGCACTACTTTTCGTAGAGCAAAACCAATTTATAAAATTAGTTAATTTTCACTTCCCAGTTTGATGGTGTAATGCCCCGAAATAACAACAATCCACATTATAATATACCATAGAATGTATCACTAGCATTATATTTAACATTTCATTGATACTCCTCAATCATACAAAAGATGATGTATGCATGTATACATTCATAAATTCTAGATTCCAAATCTATAGCATATGACATGTGTACACGAATGGGAATAAAAGGAGATACATATAAGCTTATGCTCTAATGGCTTCATCTTTCCAAGTCAATACTTGGGTACAACAAAAATGAGTTCAACTCAATACAGTTAAAGCCCATAGCTTGTACAAAAATAATTACATCAAAAGAAACAAAAGAAGCTCTTGGTTCCAAGTCCTCACAAGCTATGTCCTTGGTGAAGGTATATCATCAGCACCTGAAAGTTATTTTCCACACAGGGTGAGTTAAAGCCCAGTAGAGATACTTCAACACAATGTATAAAACTTGATGAAGTCATAAGGTGAATGCATATGCATGCCATTTGTCAAACGTTTTACATTTCTATCTCAAACAATGCAATGCCAAGATTATATATATATCAATTCATGAAAAAAATATCCTTTTATATCAGAAAACTAGGCAGTGGATACAAACACTAGAATCTCTAGGTATGTGTCTGCCCGTAAACTATACAAGCACTACTAAAGCCATTTTACTGGTACTAACCGGAAGGATCGGCACCTAACTGCGTGAGTTTCTGGACTTTCACTAAGGACACACATGCCAACATAATAACCACAACCACACTCACACCCACACCCACACCCACACCCACACCCACACCCACACCCCCTAACCAAATTCACCAGGGTATTCATCAATTTTTCTTAAAACAATGCATTTTCAATGCTTAAGTATGAAACAATGCTCAACGCAAAATGTATGAGTAATTAGTTTCAATTAACATAATCCTCATACAATTTTTACAATAATCAAAACTATCCTTCACCGATAGCCCAAAACAGATATTTCTACTTAATAGATAATTTCCCAACAACAGGTATAATCTCATCATTTTTCGAAATGAGAGTGATACATATATCCAACTCCATCCTCATCATCAACATATACATTCATTTCATTCTTTCAAAAATCCAACATCATTTCTTTTTCCTTCATAAATCAAACATTTATGATTTTCAAATCACACACCCTTTTCTTCCAAATATATTTCCAAAGAAGATATTTCCAATGTTTCAACATAACTCAACTATAAGCACCTCCCCACAGCCTTTCTCAAGAACCCATTTGAAAACCCCTATTTTACATTTCAGAATCAAACCCTAGGTTTAACCCAAAATCTCCAAATCACTAAACCCTTTCAATGAGCAAATAAATAGGCTAAGAATCATACCAAAGGTTGAAGAAATCCCTACCTCAAGAGTAGAAAAGGAAGAGAGCAACGGTAAAACTTTGACGAAGCCAAAAACAAGATCCTCTCCGATTAGAATGAAGCTTTTGACGATCTCTACCTTTTCTCCAAAGATCTATGGTGGAGAAATCAATAGGTAAGGGTGTATTTGGGGTTTTAAGGTAAGAACTAGAGAGAGAGAGAGAGAGAAAGAAGAAATTAGGGTTTGAAATGTTTTAGAGAGAAAGTGAAAAAGTGATAAAATTTCTCTTTTTCAGATTTGATATATGCACAGACCGCTCGAGCAACCAAACTACCGCTCAAGCGTCAGACACAATAAGTGACATCGCTCGAGCGCACAATGTCTCCCTTCCAGAAATTCAGATCTGTAAAAGACCGTTCGAGTACAAGAAATACCGCTGGAGCGAAGATTACCCTACTCCCAGAAGTTTTGCAGACTTGCAAAATACTAGGAGATTTCAAAGACCGCTCGAGTGATCAAAACACTACTCGAGCAAACAAGAAGAAAACTGGACAATAACTCTATTGAAAAACTAACTCCCAACCTAATACTTTATTCACTTGACCTTTATTGATTTATGGTTTGCATTGACTATTACTTCATGGGGGTCACCATCTGAATTTGTTTGAAGCAGTTTCAATTTCTTTTACTTTGTTAAACAAGTAAAGCCCATGTGTACTCGGTACCATTAGAGTTTACAGGGGAAAAGTTCAGAACTGAGGATTGAGCAGAAGATTATCATCATTTAGATTGATGAGGAGTCAAGAGGGGGGTTTGCAGAGATCATTGAGAGAAATCGGTTACGAAGCTTTTCCTTGAAGATTGACTTGGGAGGAGTTTTTTGGGCAATGCAAACTTTGAGAGAAGCATGGGGAAAGATTAGTGAAGGCAGACTCTTTAGCAAATATAGTAGTAGTTCAGTAGTTTTCTGTTTACAAAGATTCAATAATAAGAAAGGGTTCTTTATTGAGATATATCCAAATGGGTGGTGTTGGAATGTATCCCACATCGCCTGGAGTTGCCCCATCTGTGCTAGTTATAAGGTTTCAGTTTCCCTTTCCTTAATACTTGGGTTTTAAGGAGAAGTGTGGGCTGGGCTTTTCAATTTGGTATTAGAGCTTGGTTGGGCCTATGATTGGTGTGCCATTTGTCCGGCTAGTATATGTTGTGGTTCAGGAAGGTGTGTTGAAATGTGTCCCATATCGCCTGGAGTTGTCCATCTGTGCTAGTTATAAGGGTTCAGTTTCCCTTTCCTTAATACCTGGGTTTTAAGGAGAAGGGTGGGCTGGGCTGGGCTTTTCAATTGGTGGCAGGGGAGAAACGAAGCAATATTATTGTTCTGGCAGGGAGTAATGGTTGTGGTTGGGCAGACATGGCTTAGATGCTTGGAAATGCCATTAATAGGGACTTCAGTGACAAGAGGAATAAGGGAGAGATGAGGAGGAGGGGCAGGGAAGGTAAGAGGTAGAGAGAGGTTGCAAAGGATTGGGCTTATAGTGGAGGACCTCACGTCGAAATGGTAGAAGGTCATAATATAGGGATGACCTCCTTTATTTGCCCATCGGTCGACCACCCAAGGGTGATCCAACCTCCTTTATTTGCCTGTTTCTGCTGTTGTTTCGGTTATCTGTTCCTGAACAAATAAGAAATGTTTGGTTACCTATTCCCAAACAAATAAACAATGTTTAGGTCTGTGTTTCCGAATTTCAATCATATGTTCTGGAGTTTAGTCCAGAAAAAATGACGAACAATTTTTATTATTTTTGTCATTTTTTTTCAAGAAACTTACAATTACAAGGCCAATCTTTTCTGAGCTAAAAATACCATCAAAGCTATGAATCTTTTCTAACCTTTTATTATTGTACTTCTCTCATCTCATAGAGTTGTGGTTGCCAAAAAAACTCCCACTCATTGTCATACTGGAGAAGTGTATGTAAACAAATGGTTGCCGCCGGAATATTGCCGCCAAAGAGTTTTCAAGATTTTGAGGGTGGGTAGGTTTTAAAGGTGGGATTTGGGAAAGATGGATGGGTGGTGATGGAGATGGGTGCTCTCGTAAACCCTAACTCATGATGTAGTGGGTATGTGGGCTTAATTGTAAGATGGGGTATCCCAAAATTATTCAGTGTGTTTGGTTTGAGTTTTTTGAATTAAGTTTTTTGAAAACTTAGTTTTTTGGTTTTCTTGTTTTTTTGTTTTTAGTGAATTTTTTAAAATTTTAAACATTTTTTTTTTAACTTTTTTAGATGCACCTTACTTAGATGTATTTAAAAAGTAAAAAATTTGTGAAAAAATATTTTAAAAATTTAATAAATACATAAAAATACAAAAAATGTACTGAATTCTCGTTTTTTTTTTTCTTTTTGTATTTTTTGTATTTAGTGAATTTTTAAAAGGTTTTTTTCACAAAATTTTTACTTTTTAAGTATATTTATGTTAGGTATGTTTAAAAAGTAAAAAAAAAATTGCTTAAAATATTAAAAAAATTTATTAGAAACAAAAAAATACAAAAAATAAGAAAGTAGAATTTTCTGGTAAGTGTTTTTGAAAAACACAACCAAGCAAGCTGATTATCTTTTTTAGTAATTTCACTTGAGGTTATTGTTGTAATAAAAAAAAGCTGAAAAATGGGGGATCCAAAATAATTGATGGGGTGCTTGTAGTAGCACTCATATACAGGATCTCACACCCTTTCATTTGGCAATAGGTATATCAAGATTAGTAGGCTCAAGAGTAGTAATATCAGTGGACTCAAGGGGAACACGAGGGTTACCTGGACTCTCACCAGGAGAAGGAGATAGCAGTGGATGATCAGAAATAGTCTCTTGCGTCCAAGTAACTTTCTGTTTTTCTTTGTCCTTGACATAGATTTGCCCTTCCTTGTCCTTGATGACATTAGATTTTGTATTGTTAGTAACATTTAGTTCACCTTGGATAGTCTCCACAACTGGTAATGATCCAAGAGCAACAAGAACAATAGGAATCTCTTCATACCAAGGCTTCCCTTAAAAGGATGACCGTGACATCATACAAGACAAGAAGATGACATCCAGGGAGACAAACCACTCACGAGATGGAGGGTGATAACACTTATACTCCATTTGAGTTGGCAAGTATCCCAGCAAAACACATTTGAGAGAGTGAGGATCCAACTTATCCCAAGTAGGGGAATGATTGTGGACAAAACAGACACAATCAAAGATTTTAGGAGAAATGAAAAATAGAGACTCGGAACCTAAGAGGACCTGGAGAGGAGCTTGTTTATGCAACACTTGGGTAGGAAGATGATTTATGAGATATGCAGCGGTGAGAACAACCTTGCCCCAGTGGGACCGAGGCACACCCATAGGGAAACACATACAGTGAGCCATATCAAGAAGATGACGATTCTTCCGTTTGGCAACCCCATTTTGCTGAGGTGTGTCGGTGCAAGAAGTCTGATGGATAATGCCATGTTTGGAAAAATATCTCACTAAACCTGAATTAATGTATTCACCCCCGTTATCAAAACGCAATATTTTTACAGCTGCACCAAATTGAGTATCAATCATTTTATGAAAATTTTGGAACACAGAAAAAACCTCACTCTTTTCTTTCATAAGCTACAAAGTAGTACGAGAAAAGTTATCTACAAAGTGACAAACCATCTATGACCTTTCAAAGATACAACACTTGATGGACCCCAAACATCAGAATGTATTAAGGAAAATGGTACTAAACTTTTATTAAGAGTAGAAGCAAAAAAAGCTTTGTGTTGTTTGCCAAGTTGACACGACTCACAATGAAACTCAGAAACATTATTTTTGGTAAAAACAGAGGGAAATAAATGCCTATGTAATAAAAAACACAGATGCCCAAGAAGCCGATGCCACAGCCACAAGTCTTCCTTAGTGGTTGGAAACTGGACAGAATGATGAGCCAGCTTGTCTGTCTGATCTAGGATATAGAGACCATGTTCCATTCTACCACTGCCAATCATCCTCCTCGTGATAAGGTCTTGAAACAAACAATGATCAGGGAAAAAAGTCAAACTATAGTTCAAATCCCGAGTAAGACAACTCAATGATAAAAGATTAACAGAGAAATTTGGAACAAGTAAAACAGATGACAAAGGTATAGAAGGAGTGGCACGGATTAAACCTTTCCCAGAAACACAAGAAATAGTATCATCTGCAATCCTAACTTTGTTTTGACCAGAAGAGGGCTTATAGTTCAAGAAAAGATCAAATGATCCAGACATATGATCTGAGACACTAGAATCAATAATCTATGGTAAAGACTTATGGGACAGAAAAGCATTTGGAGAAGAGACTAAGTTACCTGAGCGGGCAAACGAAGAGGAAGATGCACCAATAGGAGTAGTAGAATACCGACGGTCCAGCAAGTGACGCAAGACATCCTCAAGCTTAGAAGTAGACAAGTTGGACATAGCATTAGAAGGCTGAACACCCAGAGCAGAGTCATGTGAGTCAATTGCACTAGACAAATGGGCATTAGAGTTAGATCCACGTCCTTTAGATTGGCCTAATCTACCTCCTCTATTACCAGAGCGATCACCATGACCCCCTGATGGAGCACCGTGAAGCTTCTAACATGACTCACTAGTATGTCTTGGCCGGCGACAATAACCACGAAACAGATTATCCTTTGTGGAAGGATTGGGAGTGAGAGGCAAATTGGTCCCATCCCTAGGAGGAGCAAAAAGTAAGGTAGAGCATTTTGTAGAAGTAGGTGGCATCATAGCAGAACGATGACTCTCCTCATTCTGTACATAAACAAAGGCCTCTTGAAGAGAGGGAAGAGTATCATGCCAAGGACAGGACTTCGAACCGGATCAAACTCTTAGTTGAGATCTTCTAGAAACTTGAAGACCCGTTCTTGTGCAATAAACTTCCGATATCCAACTGAATCAGTTGTGCAGACCAGTTTATAATCCTACAAGTGATCAAGTTGTTTCCAGCCATTATTCAAAAAAGTAATGTACTGAAGAACAGTCTACTCCCCCTACATTGAGCGCTCAATAGATTGGCGCAACTCAAAAATCTATGAAAAATTTCTCTTTTGGGAATAGGTAGTGGCCATAGTATTCCAAATATCCTAGACAGTCTCCATAGACAAGTAGCCCTTACCAATAACTAGGACCATGGAATGGATGAGCCATCCCATAATCAAAGAGTTGGTAATCTCTCATTGGTCATAACCAGGATCAATGATTCCTGGTGCTTGGACTCGCCTATCATCATAACCCATCTTCTCCCTACTCTTTAGAAAAAAGTGTTAGACTAACGTAATTCTAACCATCAGGTGGTGATTTTGACTAGGATTCTGGTTCTCAGGTGTAGTAGTCATAATGAGACTCTCCCCTTTAGGTGGGTGAGTAGTAGTGGTAGATTCACCAGACGGGTCAGCCATTTATACTCTACTATCACAACCAAAAAATTCTGCACTAATCACAATGATGGGAAGATGAAATGGACTGAATTGGAACTAGCAATATCAAATAGAGATCACTATGGGAGCATAACAATCAAAATTATGGGGCCATATAATGACCCCAAAAAAAAAAAAAAACAATTTAAATTAAAGGAGAACCGAACCTCCAATCAAAACAGTAGTCTGAATAGAACCCAAGAAGTCAACAACAACGCCAAACGGAACAAGTGCACAATAGGTCAATCAAGGCATTGGTGGAAGGTGTCAGGGCTGAGAGAGGTCACAGAGAGTGATCACGATGGTTGGGTGAGCCTCAGGAGATGTCGTGACACACAACCAAGGCTGTGGATGAGGTGTGACACGCAGCGGAGGGTCGTGAGTGACTTACGAACCCTAGGCTGGCATGAGACAGCCTCGACACAACCTGTGGATGAGTTGAAAGTTGATGCATAGCTCCGGCAAGGGTAGTTGATGCCTTCCGACTACCAAAAAGGTGATGGGTAGGAGGGTAGGTCTATCGGAATTGGTTGGGTAGGTCAAATCGGCTCTAATACCATGTTTGTTTAGGTGAAATCAAACTTTAAGGGATGATAATGATATCTCACCCTTTTATATTAATCAACCAAAGCTGTTACAAAGAAAGCCCTATGGCACTAATTAAGGAATTACAATATAATCTAAATAAGAAAACAAATAATAGAATAATTCTAACATATATTCTAACACACACCTCAAACTCGAAGGTGTTTTAAAAATGAAATGCTTAAAATCTTTTTTGTGCCTCCCAATTGGAAGGTTACAACCATTGCAAGATTAGGTTTTTAACGGATTTTGCAGGGATTGAGACAAAAAGAAGTAGGGGAACCCTTAAAACCATTACTTCCCTTCAAAATCATCGCATTTGCAAATCTAAATCAATATAACCACCAATCAAGAGAATCTATCATTGAACCAGATAGCTGAATGCATATATAGTGGCAGGTTTGCTTAACACTGGTAATGATTGAATCCATGTGTTTCCCTAAAATTTTCACTGTTTCCTTGTTACATTTTGTACTGGTTTGACTATAACTTGAAATTTATTCCACGACAACGTCATATTTTTACATCAAGTAGCATTGAAACTTAATAGTTGATATTTGATGACTTGAAAATTTAATCAGTCTAACAGTATATATTTGAAATGTAATGAGTGTACATGTCTCTGATCACTATACATGTCTGACACAACTTCACATTTGAAATTAACTTAGAATATGTTCAGATATTCCAAGCCTGTACCATCATCTTGATGTAAGATGCATTTAATGTAAGATGCTTTCTTATTGATGTTATTTTTTTATCTCATGACCACTTAAAGTCGAACCAGCCACTTATCGACCACCATTAGCAGGTTAATTTCTCATTGATGATTTGTTCCTGTGGAGACAGCTGTGCTAATTGGAGGCATTTCTCTCTTCAGTAACTTAGTTATACAACATAAGTTCACAGAGATGATGTCGCTTTAGATTGAGCTAAATTTGAAAGGGGTCTATAATTCATGTGGCAATTTTGAATTAGGATAAGATAGTGTTAGCTTGAGTTGAGTAAATGTATTTGTACTTTGCTTCCAGTTTTCTTGCTCTTCTTGTAGTGGCTCCTTGCGTAGATTCTCATATGAGGGACTAAACATGTTGCACTTGAACTATACTTATTCATATCCGCTGGCATTCTTAATTTTGTACATATAGCTGAGTTATTCCTGATGCTTCTTTTAGGCTCTGCTATTGGGTTCAGGTTGGATAGCCTCCTTAAACTTACTGAAACACGTGCCCGGAACAACAAGATGACTCTCATGCATTATCTTTGTAAGGTACAAAGTTCTTAGAACTCTGTGGATAAATAGAAGTTCTTAGAACTCTGTGGATAAATAGAAGTTCTTGAAACTTCTTCATGTGAACTATTTTCTAGCATCTACTCAAATTTGTCTGCATGTAATGTGTTTGTCATGCATTTTAGGTTCATGAATGTAAAGAGAACATGTGGAGGAATTGCATTTCTTTTTTTCTTATGTACTTGCCTAGTGTACGGTTTCCCGTGAGTGTGAACAAAAGTGATGCGGAGTATAAAAAGCTCAAGGAAGGCTAAATTCAAAGAAGCAATGATATTTGGACGTTGGCATGATGTCAAAGAGAAATTGATAAGAATCTTATATAATTTTGTTTATAGTATTATTGAAGTCTTATTTTATAATTATATTTATGTTTTCTAGGATTTTAAACTTAGGGGTATTTTGGTAATTTGCAGAATTTCTGGGTATGGGTTGTAGGGGTCACCCATGGGTTGTCTTGTGGGTTAAGTTATTTAATTAGGTTTTATTTATGTTTTTTTATTTGTCCTAGATTAGTTTTTTATTTGGTCCTAGATTAGTTTTAGAAGTTGAGAATATTGTAATAGTTTCCTTTTTTTTATTATAGTTGGTTTAAGAAGTCTCTTAGTTCTATATAAAGCCATGTAATGCTAATAATTCAATGGAGTTGATATTTTAAAGAAAAATGAGAGCTTTGAAGCTTCCTTATGGATTGCGTGATGCAATAAAACTCTAGGTATGATGTCTAAGGGATTCTGTGAATGATTCCTAGACCTATCTTCTTCTTCTTCTCCTTCCTTTCTTTCTTTTTTTCTTTCTTAAATTTTAGCACTTTCACAGACCCAGAACAGCCCTTACAGCGCTGTCCTGCATCAAAGCCAAATATTTTGAGGTAGTGGATAGTTAATAAATGATGAGGCAACCGAATAACCAAGAATGATTTATGGTTCAAATTACTAGGCCGTCAAGAAACATCTACATACAATACATGATCGATGAAATGAATAGGTGAGGTGGAAGAGATGAAGATAATTTATGGTAAAACTCTAAATGGTTGTATTTGTTAAGAGTTTGGGGAAGTAACAAAAGTTGAGAATAAGTGAGAGAAATGAAGACCAATGACTACATTGGCAATTGTTGATATCCCTAGCAATATAGCTTTGCATATAATACATCCAATATACATTGTTTGCACACCCTTTGCGTTCCAATGATATAAGGTTCTTTAGTTGTGTAACAGGACTTCTCTTGGGAACTTTCTCTATTTTATAGGGAATTTGGATTCTTTCATTCATGTATATAAGCTTAAAGGTTTTTAGTATTTGTATTTATCCAAAAAAAAAAGAAAAGGGTTTGAGTATTTGTAATAGACATATAGATAGTTCCCTCTTTGGTGCCTTTCATAAACAAAGTTTTACTTATGAATTTGTATCAACATACAGAAAAACATGTTGCACATCATACATGTATGTAAGATGCAATCAGCATACCAGAAGTGTTGGTGACTTGAGGTGGGTCCAACAAGGGTCTAGGGGGGTTCATCTAAGAATCTTTTTTCACATATATCCCCTTTATTAAAACATTTAATTGTGTTTTTCTTTCCCAATCCTATGTATGTAAATTAGTTAAAAAAACATAGTAGTACATTTACATTTTCTGTTTAAATCAGTGTTGCCAAAAATCACTAATGCCCTAGTGACTTATGTATTGGCACACACATTTCCAAACATGATACATTTTTGTTCCAAAACGGTGAATTTAGCTATTCAAGGTGATCTCAATTTTTTTCCATAAAGGTTTCCTTAGAAGGCAAAATAATATATGTAATGAACTAAAATATAGAGAGTGGAATTTTGGCGGGATAAAATGCATATGTGCACCATAATGCCCTTACAAATGTGCTTTTGCATGATTAATTGTTTAAAAAGAAAAGGGTCTAGAATTACCTTAAATTCCAATAATGTAACCTATACAAGTCTACTCCTATCGTATTACATTTTAGAGCATGTGATGTACTACGCTCCCCTTCCCGTTTCACGTTCCACATGTTAGAATGATTTGTATTCCAAGTAACACAGGTTAATATTTCTCTATATTTCATGTTTTGGCCGTGGTGCTGGTAGCTTCCTCACTAGTCTAGTACTTCTCCGTTGAAAAGTTTAGGCTTGGGTCATGTTGCTTCTGCCTGATTTCTCCAGGTGCTTGCTGATAAACTTCCTGAACTTCTTGATTTTTCAAAAGATCTTGCCAGCTTGGAATCTGCGTCAAAGGTATCTTTGCTTGTTAATGCCAATAATAATAATATTAATCATCTTAAGAATATTTTAGAGCATATGGCTTCTATTGATTGCACTGTCTAATTTCCCCCCAGATACAACTGAAATTTTTGGCAGAGGAAATGCAAGCCATTAGCAAAGGACTGGAGAAAGTTGTACAGGAATTGTCCATGTCTGAAAATGATGGTCCTGTTTCAGAAGAATTCTGTACGGTATGAACAATTAATAAGTATAATTTCATGGTGTGAACATTAATTAACCATAATTTTTGCTTCTATCTCCTACAAATAGATAAAATTAATTTAGTACTTATATCCCATTTGTATGTGTCACGGAAGCATGACCACTTTAAGTTGAGCATTGTATCATCTGCTATTACAAAAGTAGTTCTCTGAGCACATCATGGTGTTTTACATGTTGATCATGGAACATATTTCACTTATCTAGTATGGTTTGTGCATAAATTTTTTTTATTGCAGCAAGCGTGTATACCTGGATACTATGAAGCACGGACACGGACACGGGACATGTTAATTTAAAAAAAATGGGGATATAGACACGGCAGAGGGCACGGCAATTTTTTTTTAAAATTTATTTATATATATGTGCTATATAGATTAATATTATGTTACTAAACAATCAAAATTAATAAAAACTAACATTAATTCAATATATATACAAAAATCACTACGTCTAAACAAATTAATAGATCATCTATATTTGGACACGCTAGTCCCTGGTGTGTCCCTTGCAAAAAATAAAAAATAAAAAATTAAAGGGACACGCCATTTGGCTTGTCCCTATTGTGTCCGCTGCAAAAAAATAATAAATTTAAGGGTCATGCCAAATGGTGTGTCCAGTATGTGTCCTCAACGTGTCCTCGGCATGTCCGACACTGCTACGATGCCTATTTTGAAGTGTCCGTGCTTCATAGCCTGGATATATGCAATTTATATAACAAATCATCATCAAATGTGGGGTAGGCTACAGGGATCAATTTTCACATTTTTGCCAAGTTTGGGCAACTTATCAACCTCATGGGCAATCCTACATGTTTCACAGCCTCAATCCATGTTCTTCTTTCTCTTCCCCTTCCCTCTATAGCTTCTCGTATCGCTCCTTCGCTACTAGTGAAATAATGCTTTTGTTACCAATCATGTTACGTGGCTTTGGTATGAGTATTGGGTGTGGAGTTCGAGTGTCAGACCTTCATAAATTTTAGGATGTAGTTCAGTGTTTTAAAAAGCTCTAGGCGCATCGGGGCGCCAAGGTCACCTGGAGCCTAACTGCCGAGGCGCGAGGTGAGGCGTGCACTCACCAAAGCGAAGCGCAAATTATAGAAGTTAAGCAAAATATCAATATAGCACAATATATGGTGCAATTTTCAACATAAGCAAATATTTATAGAATTCCAAAATGAACAAAACAGTATTCAATATTCCAAAAACCATGAAAGTAACATCAAACAACAAACATAAGAACTTAATAATAATCCACAAAGTTGAAAACAACTAAACATCTAGTGACTAGTTCCATGGATGCATTGTCCTAAGAACTTAATAATAAGCGTCATCTCCATCATCTCCTTCATCATCATTGGATTTATATTCCTCCACATCCCCCTCTTCTTCCTCATCTGAATCTACATCTTCCCATTCCTCTTCCTCATCTACAAGTCGACGTGAGCTTGAACCAATTGGAGTTGTCCTAGTTGTGGTTGATCTAGTTCTTTGGCTACTTTCCTCAACTCCAGCAGCTACAACAACATCATCCCACCCCAAAGAATCATCATCATCATCAAACACAAGCTCATTCTCCATCCTCCCAATCAGCTATTCATTGCTTTCGTCAATATCTTTCAAAGAGATGGGATCAAATTTGCCATGTGAAATGTATTGACGTTTCAATGCTCTATTATACTTGACAAACACCAAATCATTGAGATATTTTTGAGCTAGCCTATTTCTTTTTTTGCTATGAAGCTGCAACAATAAATTAAAAAACATTTAAATTCATATATAACTAAAAAAAAATTGGAAGAAAATTTTAGAGTTCCCCAAATTTGACAATGGATACTCACATGTTCAAACACACTTCAATTCTGCTCACAACTAGATGAACTACAAGTAAGACTAAGAACTTTGATGGCAAATTGTTGCAACTTAGGAGCATCATGACCATAAGAACTCCACCAATCAGCTGTAAATGATTATTAGTTAACACTTCACAAATAATTAAACTATAAGGAATTGGCTACTAACTTAATTTTGTGGATGAACATAGATCACCTGGTACCCTTGTAGTTCTTTGTCTAATTGCCATAGGTATTCCAAAAAGTGCTTCAACATTTTCATATTTTTTCAAGTCTGCAGTAACTTTATCTTGGACCTCTAGTGCTGGGATCAACCTTGATATACATTGATATAGGCCTGATACGATTTCTTTGTCCTTTGCAGCCCTTGGATCTTTGTAAAAAAATTCTGGATTTAAATAAAACCCAGCTGCATGTAAAGGGCGATGCAATTGAGCATTCCACCTTTGGTCAATGATTTGAAACACATCTTTGTACTTCTCTTCATTTCCATTGAAGCTATTTGCAATAGCTTCCTTAGCCCTATCCATAGCCTCATAAATGTAACCCATTGGAGGCTTTTCTTCACCATCAACCTTTCTTAGTACATAAACAAGAAGTCATGAAAATTGGAGGGCAAGGTGACAATGGTTCAAAATGAAGGCATTAGTAGTATTTGAGTTGTCTTCTTACCCCGTGGCTCCTTTGCCCATTTGCTTTTAGTCCACTCCTCTGAAGTGAACATCTTCCTCAAATTGTTCCTTTTTTGATAAACCCTTTGTAAAGTTAAGAAAGCCATTGCAAATCTAGTTTTGGCAGGCTTAACTAACTCCTTCAACTGAGTAAAACGCCTCATCATATTCAACAAAGATGGTCGGTTATAAATTTAACCATGCATCCCAATTGCCCTGTCAAATGTCTTCTTAAAATTGAATAATTTGAAGATATCTTCCAACATCAAATCCAAACAATGGACTGCACAAGGCGTCCAATACAAGTGGGGTCTCTTTGTCTCCAAAAACTTCCCTATTAGAAGTAACAACCAGAACACAAAATTCATGATATGAAACAAAATGATTTATGTTGCAAACTAATAACATAATAAGTTTTTCTAAAGATTTTTACTTGCCAACACATTTGCTGCCGCACTATCCGTGATGACTTGGATCACATTAGCTTCTCCAATTTTCTCCACAAAATTATCAAGCAAATTAAACATTTTATTTCCATCCTTTGAGTAACTAGATGCATCAATGGATTCAATAAACATGGTGCCTCTCGGACAATTCACTAAGAAATTAAGCAAAGTCCTATTTCTCTTATCTGTCCAACCATCACACATTATGGAACATCCATACTTTGCCCAATTGTCTCTATGTTCCTTCATCAATTTGTTAACGTGATTCACTTCTTTTTTGAGGTAAAGAACTCGTATCATGTGGTAAGTTGGTGGTTTCAAACCAGGACCAAATTGTCCTATAGCTTCAATCATTGGCCCAAAATTGTCATAATTCACTGCATTGAAAGGAATCCCAGCGTCATACATCCATCTTGCAAATCTAACACATGCCCGTTCCATTAACTCTTTCCTATAGAGATCATTTTCATCAATTTTACTTTGCTTCCCCTTGCCTTTTTGTTTTTGCGCCACCACATCTGGATCAGGTGTGAAGAAACAATCCATAGGCCCTATCTTCCTAGGCCTTTTAAGTTTGGATTGAACAGAATTAGAGCTGGTTCTTTGAGTAGAACCTTGAGTAGGAGTGGACTTTTTACCATGCTGAGGGAGTTCTACAAGATCATCCTCATCCTCAAAATCTTCTTCATCAACCATATCATCAAAATCGGGCATCAAGTTGATTTTCTCCTTAACTTGCTTTTTTTTAGCCATAAACTCAGAAATCTCATCTCTAACCTCAGTTGGGCATCTAACACATTTAGTCACATTCCTATACCCTCTAACAAGATGTTGCTTAACTCGACAGACACCCCCATTCATATCTTTTCTACAGAAATTGCATTTGAGCTTACTTAGGTTTCTGAGATTTACCATCGTTGAATGCTTCCATACTGGATCTTTCTTTCCACTTTCAGCACTCAACATTTGACTCAACAAGATGTTTTTTATTATTATTATTATTATTATTTTTTTACAGGACAAGAAAAGGCAAGAAAAAAAAAACAGAGACTAGAGAAGAGAAGAATAAAAAAATGAAGAAGAAAGAATTTAAAAAAAAAAAAAAATTGAATAAGAAACCAACGAAGAGAAGAAAAGACAAACGAAAGAAGAGGAGGAGAAAAACTGAAACACAGAGAAGAAGAAGAAGAGAGAAGAGAGAAGAAGAAACGAAAGAGATGAACCTGAAGACAACATCGATGTCGAGGCTCACGTCGATGTTGAAGCTCAAATTTTGGTCGCAATAGATTTAGGGCTTCATTGATTCGAAATTTTGGTCACAACAGATTTAGGGCTTCGTCGATTCGCACAAGCTCACTAACAGATTTGTATTGTATAAGAGTTTTAATCCTATGTGGCTAGTACACACACAAAACAGGTCAGGCCTAGCTAAAGCGCACGAAGTGTGCACTTTGAGCCTAGGCAAAAGGCACACGCCTCAGCGCCTTACGTGCACTTCTCGCAATGCGTCTCGCTTCGTCTGCTTCGAACGCCGACCCTGCGCCTCGCCTCGCCTCGCCTCGCTTCGCTTAGCGCCTAGGTGCACTTTTTAAAACACTAATGTAGTTGAATATGGATGGGTACAAGGATGCATCATGGACATGTATAAATGTTTCATATTGTATAATATTCTTAGATAAGATATTGTAAATGTAGCTGAATTTACAAGACTTGGGAAAAATATGGGATTTCTCTCTCTCATCCGTGTGAGAGGCTGGAAATGTTTTTTTACTAGCAAATGTGAGTTTCTTTCTAAATTGAGTACTAATGTCGGACATATATCCCACACTCTTACCCCTCGTCATATCCATTAGGCATCGGGGAATGAAGAGTGCCAAAAAAATAATTATTATTATTTTTGTTAATTGGGCCTATAAGTAATGTTCTTGTGCTTCTATTAGTCCATGTTAAGCTATCTTTTTTTTTTCTTTTTTCTTTTTTTTTTTTAGTTCAGTGACAAGTTG